TTTTTCCCCCTTTTTTTTTCAAAGGGGGGGGCCCCCCCCCCCCCCCCCCCCCCGACAGGTGCTAACGTTCGGCCCTCCCGTCGTCGCGAGCCTTCGCCGTCGACACCCCTCGGTCTTCCTGGACGTGCACCTGGCTGTCGAGAACCCGCACGAGTACGTTGACGCGCTCAAGGACGCCGGGACCAGCCAGGTCCTGTTTCACCCCGAGGCTGTGGTCGAGGGCAGCGACATGGATGCCGCGAGTTTGGTGAGCGGGGGGAGGGGTCGTTCTTCAAGAAGGTTTTAGTTTGGGGGGAGAGTTTAGGATATCGAGACTGGCAAAAGCCAGTTATTTTTCTCTCTTTCACGCCTCTGTTCATTGGTGTGAATGAGAACGAGGCGTTGCTCGTGGGGTCAACCGGTGCCTAGGCCTTGCTGCGACGACACGTGAAAAGCTTGGCACATGGAGCCCCATCGGTTACCTAACCCATCCGATGATACACCTCTGATCCGAAACAACGAATGCTCTGGGAGTGCTCCTCCGCAACATCGGTGCCAACGGCTGTCAGTTTCCGCCGAAAAGAAGTCGAAGCCCGTGAACGAAACCAGAAGGCGCAGCGGTTGCTCTGTCTGTCAGATCTCGGGGTGATGTGGACGATTAAATAGACCTACAAAATAGGCGATCAACCAATCGAGTCCCCCCCCCCAACCGCCCGTCCTCCCACCGCCTCTTCGACCTCTAAGGCCGTGCGAATCTCGGAGGCGGGCATGCGGGCGGGCGTTGCCCTGAGGCCCGAGACCCCGGTCTCCGCGGTGCTGCCGCTCCTGGAGCCGCGGCGGCTCGTGCAATGCGTCGACGTTCTCGCGGTCCAACCGGGTTTCGGGGGTCAGGCGTTCGACTCGACCGTTCTGGCGAAGGTGGAGGAGCTGCGGTCGATCTGTCCGGAGCTGGACATTCAGGTGCACGCGTCGAGATGACTATCCATTCGCGGCAGAAGCAGCAGTATGTAGCAGTCAGTAGTCGAGATTTTTTGTGGTTTGGTGTTGTGAGGTAGGTTTGCACGCGTAGCAATTCTTGGAGACCCTGACCATGACACCTCACTTGTGCTTGTTGGGTGATCTCTTGAGCAGCAGTACGTGATGTGTTTTTGCTCTCCTTGGCTAGACTGAACAAATGGGGGCGGGACCTCTCCTTGGAGGGAAGGGGCTGCTATGGCATCATCCCCTTTTGATAACATTCATCGGGAGTTGCAGCTTCCGACATAACCTCAACATGTTCCCTAGAACTACCATTCAGATCCTTGTACTAAAATACCGTAACAGCGAGGAGTCGTACAGCGCTGGGCGGCGTTTCCTGTGCGGTTTTGTTTTCCGTTGCGGAGTTCCGCGAAAATAACCGTGAAAAGGTTCCCCGAGCGCTTCATTTGTTACGTGCCGTGGGAATTTTTCGGTCGCGGGCTTCCCGTGCCTGGGTTGTTGCCCGTGAGCGTCTGTTTCCCTTCTGTTCGTGGTTGCCCTCTCGCGAAACCGTGCCACGAAAGCATGCTCACCGCTGTCGTAGCACCCCAGAAGGAACTTTTCCGCCAACTCCGCCCCTGCCGCGTCCCACGCGGCAACGTACACTCCAGCCACAATGCCACGTTGTTCGCGTTGTTTGACTCAAAATTTGGTGACGTCCTTGCAAATGATGATGACAGGTAGACGGCGGCGTCAACGCAGCCACGGCTCAGGCTTGCGTTGCCGCAGGGGCTAACGTGCTGACCTCGGGGAGTTTCATTTTTGGCAACAACACCGGTGCCGTGGCCGCTAGTCATGTTTCGGAAGCGGCGGCGGCGGCGGCGGCGGCGGCGGCTGCGATTGCAGAGTTGAGGGGGGCTCTTTCTGCAAAGTGGCGGTTACCGGCTCAAGGGTAGTCTAGTTAGATGGAGGAGGACGCGGTGGCATGCGGTGGACTCAGTAGATTATGGGGGTGGGGGTGATCGGAGCATACACACCCTGACGGCTTGATGGAAGGCGTTGGCGGTAATGGTACCGTTGGCTGTGACGCCCACGGGCCTTCTTCTTTTCGTGGCATCTGGCACGCTTCGTGACTGCCTCCTTGTGGCTCTTGCTTGCTGTTTGGCCGCTTTGCCACTAAAAGGGCGGTAAATCGTCGTGTGCGTCGTCGCGGTTCGAGGATCACCACAAGACAAAGCACGGGTATTTCTGTTATAGGGCGTCAGAATGATCTCTCTTTTATTTCGCAGTGAATGAAGTGGCTTGAGGATATCGATCGCTACAGAGAACACCGTTTCGTCCGACGCGAGCACACACATTGTCTTGACCAAAAACACGCCTCACGCTCTACAAAATTAGTCAGCGAACCGTCCCCGTCGAACAGCAAAAAACACACACACACGAGAACAAGGACTAAAGACGCCTGGTAGCGAGAGCGGACACGGAACCCACGACTTGCAACTAAGCACGACGAAACGACGAAAGCAGGCAAAACGCTGGGTAAAAACCCGAACAGAGTGAAATTTCTTCGACCAGACGTATCCCCGTCCAAATCTGCCTACACCAAGACATACACTAAATACTACAAGACAATACAACCTAAAGGAACAGCGTCGTCTCTGCGGCCGAGGTGCAAGCGAGCGACGTTACCCGTGCTCCGAGAACAAATAAACACCGCGAGAGGCGGAGAGATGGCACCCCCCCTCGACCGACGTTCACAGCTCGATTGATCCACAACCAAGCGGGTGCGTTAAAGAGCCCGATGCGTTAGGGAAAGTCGTCCACGAGATGTTTCCATTCCAACAGTCCAAACCCACCACTTTTGGTGTTGGCACAATCTTGGCTGTAGAGCAATTGATCTTTGAAAATCGGTCGAGGGGGGGTGCCATCTCTCCAACGCTCACGGAATACCATGTTACGGTTGTATACGGTACGGTACAGACAATGTTGGTCGTGGAACAATCGAGCTTTGAAAATCGGTCTAGGGGGGGGGTGCCCCTTATCCGCAGGTGACAACGAAACCACCGGACTCTTTGACCGTCCGGCGACGATCGGGAAACTGACACACCCGTGTGGCAGATGCGAAGACCCGTCCTTGCCAGACGTGACAAGATGGTTGGTTTATCAGATCTCGCCGCGCGCAGGCCTTTTATCATATCGGAAACCCTTGCAGGAGGCGGAGCCAACTGCAACCGTTGCATACTGCACGCCGGTGTCTGAATACGGTTGTAGTGCGGTCAACCCGACCCGCCCATTTGACGGAGGAACCGAGCCTTTCTAAGCACGCCCGGTGATGAGAGTGTCACGCAAAGAGTCGGAGAAAAGAGAGCAACACAACAAGAAGAGTGCCCAGCCAAAGCGTCCTGTCAAAAACGACATGTAAAGAAAGACAACACCATCCTACTTTATTGTTACAATACGAGTATACTACAAACGCTGCCTGGAGACGACCGGACTGGCGTGGCCGGCGAAAATCCCACAGCAGAGCCACAAGGCACGCGTCCGAGGCCTGTTACCGATCCTCCTCTTTGAAAAACGTCGCGGATTCCTCGCCCCCGCTACTACTATCGTCCTGCTTCGCAACACGGAACACCTCGGGGCTGGTGCTTCTACTTCGACTTCTACTCCCGTTTCTATTGCCCTTCCTGCGGCCGCTCTCCATCGCCGACGGCGAGCTAGCCGCCAGAGGTTCACGTTCCGAACTGCCGTTGCTGTTGCCCAGGACCTCATCCTCCCCCGCACCGGCGGCTGTGGTAGTAGTACCGCGGTCGTCGTCCCATGCCGTCGGTACCGGTGGCCGACTATTTCGAGGTGACCCCGCGAACCCTATCCACCTCTCCCCGCCCCCGCTGCCATACGCCCGGCCGGCACCACTCCACACGCGGACCCCCCTTTCGTGGGCCATGATGCCCTGGGGCAGGGAGGATGTCGACGACGACGGCGATGACGGGGGGATATTTTCGGCGCCTGCTCGATGCCGGCCAGCACCACCGGCGCTCCCGACAAACGTACCATCCTCTCCCTCCTCCTCGTCCTCGCCCTCCTCCTCGTCCTCCCACCGTCCGCCTTTCGGCTGTCCCGATGTGTCCCGCATCTCTAAACCCGTCTCCTCCTCTGCTGCGCCTCCTCCTCGTCCTCCTCTGGCGGGCCCTTGCCTTCGCCTGGAGCCCCCAGCACCCCCGCCATCGTCGCGATCTCGCTGGGGGGCCCCGTTGCGGAACGCGCCGCCGCGCTTCGGCGATCGTTGCCGCCGCGGCAGCCCGTTGCTGCTGCCCCCCCCCGAAGAGTCCGCGTCGCCGGGACCCCCCTCACTCGCAGCTGCACCAGAACAAGCAGCAGTGGCATCTTTGGCCGGAGCAGAGGAGGGCGAGAGCTCCAGAAAGTCGTCCTCGGCCTTGCCGAGAAGTAGCTGCCCCACTCGCAGGTACTCCGTCGTTATCTTCCGGGTGAGGGACGGGGGCCTCTGGGGCTCCGCGGAATCATCCGACCCGTCCAAGGGCTCCTCCTCCACCTAGGGGAGGGAGGAGGCCGAGAAATACGAAAAAAAACGATTCAACTGCACGTCAAATCGGCAACCTGTATACCACTTGGCCTACACCGCGCGGGGTGCAAAAAAACGCCTGCGATTTGTTCTTTGATGCACCTCGAGGTAGGGATCACTGCTGTTGTGCGGTGGCTCATGAGCACGCAGGATGCAGGAGAGGCGACGACAGGACGCTGGCGAAAGGAGGGGGGTTCTCCAGATTGGACGTGCTCGTGTGTACGTCTCAAGGGGGCGAGACGGCAATGGACGCTGTGGATCCTGACGCTGGTAGGCATGCCTCCCGCAGGGGGGGGGTGAAGTAGCTGACAAATATTCACATCGTTCTCCCAACGGGCTTGTTTCTTGTTTGCTGCCCGCAACGGTTTTGTCCTGTTAAAAGCAGAGGCAGACTACAAGGAAAATCTAGCCACATCATAACGCGGTAAAAAAGTTCCCGGCAAAACAAACGGTAATAAATTACGAACACAAACATCCGCGCAACATACACGAAAGGGAATCCTACCTGCGCGTTGCCGTACGACTTGAGCCAGTGCTGGATCACAGCCGCTTGCCAGAGTACCCCGTGAATACCGCACGCGATGATCATCAAGATCCAAACCGCGAGCGCGGTGTCCACTTGCCTACAAGTTTACGAGTAGAAAACAGCGAGGGGGCGGCGTGTGTGTTTGCAAATACAGCAGTCCGATGTTCAAGGGACCAAGCTTATTGGGGGCATGCCAAAGCGGTTACACCATTGACCACCTGTCCCCGAGAGAACGGAGTGCTGTTCCCCACAGGACCGACCACCGATGGCCAATCGCTCCTTCCTACTGTGCCAAAGATCGCTCAAAAATGTTTGTCCTACTAACCCTAGGCTGTCTATCCCATCTTTAATCACTTCCCGCCTTTAGCTCGTTGTAGGAACACGGCAATCGAGGAACATAGCGCTCGCCACGGTGCAGCACAGTCAGAATTGCGGGATGTTTCCACCACCCGGTTCCAGGTCTGCGGGTAAACAGCCACACCGCTGTATCATGAGAGTTCGTACGCATTGCGACACGAGCTGCAATCCAGACTATGACGTGCAAGCCTAATAATCCGCAAAACATTCTGCGCGCGCGGGGGGCGGGGCTCACGTGAAGCTCTCATATCGCCGTTTCACTTCCGGCAGCTCCTCGGGCAGTGATATGTGGTCCAGCTTTGTTGACGTGATGTTCACCTTCGCGGACCGGTGACAGACACACGGCACGACGACACGGACAACCCACCAGCAATCAACAGGGAAAGGTTAAAAGAAACAAGGCAAGCAAAACTTCCGCTCCATCACTCTCTTTCTCTTTCTCTCGGGCAACACAACGGGAGCTGCATCGCACGGAGCTCTCCAGTCGCTGTTCGATCGATCTTCACGATCTCGATTCCGAGTGCTGGCGAAGCACTCGGGTGCACGCTCCGCGACGCATCGTTTGCTACTGCTAACAGGTGACATAAGATATCATTCCCTGCTGACCGATCTTCAAACTCGATTTCATAATCGATCGAACGAGAAAGCGCGGTGGTGCCGAAAATGGCGGCATTGGAGCCGTCTCGTCGAGAGCTTTCCAGGAGCGTATCGTTTGACATTTTCGTCCACTTCGTCGCGGCGTAATCGACCGTTTTGAAAACCGGTCTAGGGGGGTGTGTTATCTTGCGTCACCTCCAGTACTCTCCTTCCGTCTTGGGCGCGCCAGGTACTCATCCCATGTCGCCTGCTGCACAATCGCGCTACACTTCGGTGCTATGTAACCGGCTACCCCTGGATTCAGGAGGAGGAGAGGGAGGAGGAGGCTCGATCGCCATCGCATCTAGGCGATGGCCAACACCCCACCCCCAGTCGTGTAAACTCCATCGATCACCTTGTAGTACTCGTGAGGACCGATGGCGATAAACGCCACGTCGTCCAGGCAGTCGAAGTACCGAACGAAGTCTTTCAAGGATGTGACGAAGCTGAACTTGCGCTGAAACAGGGAGGCGAGATGCCATGCGCGTGCCGGGGGGGGTACGGAATAGGGGGGGGGGGGGAGGGAGGGGGGCGCATGTCAGATCGAACCTGGGCTGTTTTTGGTCGGCCAACTTGAAAACCGGCGATTCACGCCACGTGCGCGCGCGAGCGATACACCCGCGGGCGCGTTCAGCAAGTGTCACACGCGCGTGCTATCGAGAGCCCGCGTCAAAGAACACCGACGAAGACACCGAAGCAACCCTCTTGGCCGACTCCTGCCGATTCGTCATCACCGAAAAACGAAACATCGGTCGATTCGTCATACGCAAAGAGCCAAAATATCAGCACCGGTCTCTTAAGTTCATTGAATTCCTTACCTCTTGCAGGCACAGCTGCAGCGACTGGTAATACCCCACCACTTCCTGCCACTCGTCTGTCGGCTCTGCTGCGGGGGCGTGCGTCTGCACCGCCATTTCCGTCGGGGAAACCGTGGACAGCGGCGCACCGGTTGCCTCCGCCTCGTCGACGCTGGCTACCCCGGGCACTTCCGTCCCCTCATCCTCGGGCTCCCCCGCCTCTTGGTCCAAAGCCCCGGCCTCTCCGGCGCTGCCTGCGGAGTCCGAGCCAGGCGAACCCCACAGTAGAGTTCTTCCTCGCAGCAGCCGCCGCTGCCGCTCCTCGCCACCGGCGCTGCTGCCGTCGCCATCTTCCTCTTGCCCCTCCTGCCCAGCACTGCTGCTACTACTACGACTGTTGTTGCGGATCTCATCAACGCCCGGACTCGTGCTGCTGCTGCTGCTGCTTCCGCCGCCGCTGCCGCTGGCATGCCCTTCCTCCTCCTCTCTTACGGCCCCGGCGTCGCTGCTCCCCGAAGAAGTCGGCAGCGACGACGACGACCACGACGAAGCCCCCGCCTCGCCACCGCCACTGCTACTGTTGTTGTTGCTGCTGCTGCTGCTGCTGCCGCTGCCATCCCCCGCCTCCCCCGGCACCGCGCCACCTTCCACCGGCTCGTCGGGGTCCCCATTACCCCCCCCGCTGGCGACACTACCGTCCCCGCTGAAGATGATGATCTCTGGCTTGGAGTGCGAATAGATGACGATCTTGTGCTTCTGAGGGAGCAGGGCCGGGGTGAGCCGCACGCCCCTGGTCTGCGCCGCGGAGAGGAGCGCCCAGACGAACTCGTCGCAGCCGCTGGCGGTCAAGAATTCCCGGCCTACAGAAAGTGTTGTTTTATTGGAACCCCACAAGCACACGGTGTTTTGCCATCGGGGTTGGGTTTTCGTCGCGTGGCAACGGCGTTGTAAAACAAGACCCCCCCTCGGTGTTTATACCATCGGGATTGGGTTTTCGTCGCTTGGCAACGATGTGGTAAAACAAGCCAATTCACTTCGTGAACTCGGCAACCAGGTTACCGTTTTTTTTTTTTACCTCTGTTTTTTTTGTTGGCGGTAACCATAATGGTGGTCGAGTAGATCATGTTGTACGGGGTGGAGAATCCTCAGTCCGCGCAAGGGGGATGATCGCACCACGTTGTGTTAAAATGGTCAAGCATCCTCGAGGCAGTTACACAGTGCTTATAACTGTCTCTGGAAGTGAAAGCACCAGAAAATAAATTAAGATATACGCAGCTGTCATCCGTACGCAAGGAAATAAGCACAAGATGCCGAACACCCTTAGCAGGATGCAGCGCACCCTTCATGCGACTCGCCGAATACCTCACGGCGCTTCGCGCTTGGTGATGTGAGAGCCTGGTCCGGTGAGAGCCCGGCGTGCTCCGTCCCGGCTTTATAGGTATGCGAGGTCAATGGTCTAACGACTACGGCATGCACGACTATGAGTACACCCCCCCCCCCCCACAAGCACATTCTGTTTCATTTGTTTCGTACCACAAACATGCCAAATGCATCCCCTCCACAGATAAAAGAGTCCGTGATAGATTAGCAGTGGATTCAGTAGTTCTACGGTTACTTTTTCGATAGATGGAAAAAACACAAGGACGTGTGATGAAGGGGGGTGTCGAGGCAACACGAGTAGCAGACAGCTGTCCCGAGTAGCAACTACGGCTGTCCTTGGCAGGAGTAGCAACGATCGTTCCAAGAAATTCACTGCGATAGAACAGAAGCAGCAGCAGAGCCCGCTGAGCTCAAAGAGACCCGGCTGCTACTGCTGCTGCTGCTGCTGCTGCATGAAAAAAGCACGCGGGGGTGGGGCCTTGGAAGCAGCGCACCTGGGTAGTCCTCGTAAACGCTGAACGGCTGGTACCGGGGGTGCAGCCGGTGGTGCTCAAGGCTGAACTCAACAGCGTAGCTGAAAAACGCGCCTGTTGTCTCCCCCATATACGAGCCGGCATTCCAGTACGCCTGTGCGATAGTGTATGCAGCAGCAGCAGCAGCAGCAGCACCAACAGCAGCAGCACCAGCGTCGAAGTAAAAACAAGGCGTGGCAGAGAGGGGTGAAATCATTGATGTCACTGCGGGTCGGAGAGCGATTGTTCTCTTTCGAACCTTAGGGGTATGCGTGTACACGTGAATGTGAGTGTGAAGAGAGAAAACGAGACACATAAAATACTGGAGACAGAGTTAAGTGCAAAACCTCCGCTGACATAAACGGTGTCGCACAGCAGCGCACGGAACATGGTGTGCTGGAAGTAGACTAACACTCTGCCAGTAGAAAAAAAAACAAAACACATGGGGCGTTGTTCCATCACCACCATGGGCCTGCACGGGCTCGACCAAAGATGTACTTCGTTGATACGCGCCGGAAAAGCAGCGGCATCTCTTTCGCGTACCGCGGACGTTTGGGCCACACGCCCGAAGGAAATGGTCAGGAAGAGGTCGGCATAACCCCATCATACCTGGTCAACGCCCATCACATAGCTCACGGACGCCGCCTGATGGTCCCACCGCAACTCCCGGCCATCCTCCGATATAACGGGCAGCAAGGATATCGTCATGTTGGTAGGGTGGTAGGCAATAGACACCTGAAGACGCGGTGTCAACGTGCGGCAAGGGCAGGCGGGCGGGAATCGGCCGACGGTCTACATCGCAGGCCGCGGAGAGCATGCCAATCGAGTTTGAAAGACAAGATGTTTGGTGTTTGAGTCCTGCGTGAGAGCACAGAATGTGCGCCCTACGACACTCGGTAGGCGGTCCTCTAAATCAGGCAACCTTGGTGCAGTTCGCCCAGCCGTTCAAAGAATCACGCAAGTGTTGGCGTAGAGCAAGGTATGCTGAGATACCCTGCCGGCTTGTTGCCGCAGGAGCGTGCTGCCTGTCTCTGTCTCTCTGTCTCCTTCTCTTCGCGGCGAGCGTACCTTCACGTCGGGCCTCTCCACGCTGTAAAACGCCACACCCGTCAGGAAGAACGACATGTCATGGTTAAGGCCTCCTTGCTCGTAAAGCTGAGCAGTGGCCTGTCCAGCAGGCGCAGAGACGACAAAGGCCGGCCGGGGTGTTTCGATGCTATTGATTGTATTTTTCACTGGTTTTCGTGTGTTCACAGGCCTGTGTGTGATGCACGTAGGGCTAACGTCTGCACCACACAAGCCCCACCCACTAGCCTCCCTTTGCAGCTGTTCTCTCAAAACAAAAAAAACGAGGATTCTGACGCCCATAACAGCGAGCGAGGAGAAGGGATAACTAGAGCACCGAGACATGGGTAGCATTCACCCGCTCCCTGCCCCCCCAGATCTCGCTCCGCGTCCATTCAAAGCAGGGTTGGAAGCCAAAGGACGACGACGCCACTGCCATGTGTTGTTTAATTCTGTCGCAAGTCAAAACCTGGTAACCACACAACTTTTGGAGAGCTAAGTCCATCCCGCACTGCTGATTATCAACCTTGACTTGAATAAAAAAACTCCGGGGGTCTCACAACTGATTTCACGTACGCATACCGGCCTTGCAATAAACATGCGCTTCTTCATATGTTTACATCTCTTTCCTGAAGACGGTAAGGAATTCTCCTGGGACCCGGTTGCCACTATAGTTTTGCGTCTGGGACAAACGTCGGGTTCTTTCCGCCCGCGGGAGAGAGCGTTGCTCGGTCAAACTGACCGCAGAAAAAACGATACCAATCTTGCTGCCGTGGAGATGGGTGCGCAGAACAGTCACATCATCCCTGTCTGCAGCACGGCCTTGTTGAAACAAATCAATCGCCCAGGTACGCTCAAGGCTGCAGCTGTCAAATACAAGTCGTCCACGCCAATAACATCGACAATTGACAATACAGGCGCGGAATGCGGGAGGAATCATGGACGGGCCTGCGTGTCCAACCATGTTCGCTACGGCATGATATGCATACCACCTGCACCACGTGCAGTGCCACAATCAGTATGTACGTGCGGAGCTGTGCCACGGGCAGCAGTAGGTTGCGACGTGACAAGCGCTTCTGGCTGTTCTGAGGGTAGCATCCGCACGTGTCCCGAAAACACACCCTCTGTTCACGCAGGCAGGCATTGTCTTGTGCCATAGGCATGCAGCAGCTGCTACCGCCGTACCGTATGTGACTATAATAGAGACCAGACGTATCTCTCGAACCGCAGACACACTTGCCGTTTTCCATCTCGGTCATGCTTCCACCTTACGAAAACAGCAGTCGGCATAACATTTTCGAGGCGATCCCTGCACAGCACACGCAACCAAACAGTCAGAAGGAAAAAACCCTGATGTATCCCACGTCACACCCCAACCAGCGTACGTAATACATATGCATACCTGCAGATGGTACATTTGAAGAACCTCGCTGCTTCGAAAGACTTCCCCAACGGTAGCTCCGGAGGCATCGTCCAGGCTTTTCCAATCCGGCCGAATATCAACCAACGCATCCCCAGCTGCTGACACCACCCGTAGAACTCCCACCATCACACACAGCAACGAAAGAACATACTTCACGGCCAGCCACAGTGGTGCTCGCGTCGGGACGCTGCTCCAAGATAGCCGGCGATCATGCTTGGCACGTGCTGGACAACTGTTGTAGTTGCGGCGAGATGTGCCGCCAGAAGAAGAAGAAGCAACTGACGACGGCAGTGCAGTTCTTTGAAGCTGTTCTCTGTCCGACCACACAGGAGCCCGTTCGCGCCTGCTCCGGCTCTTCGTATCCATACCATGCGGCGTTCGCTGCCCCACACGCTGCTGTGTCTGGTTGCGGAGTTATGCGCCAAGCAGCCAAGCTGCCGGGTTCTCCAAAGGGGGCACGAAGGTTGGGTTTTCCTTGGCTAAGGGGGGGGGGGGTGGTCCGGCCGCCGAGTTGCTGCGGCGAAATCGGTGTCGTTTCAACGCTTTCTCGCCTCTGGCAGCTTGGCAGCTTGTCTGGTCGTAAATCTTGTCGGCTACCGGTTGGCTGGGACGCCCGTATTGATTGAAGAGATTGCCGGCATCCGGCGCCCGGTAGGTCTCGTCGGCTTAACCATCATACAAGATTCAGGATCCTCGAATTTCAGTATACTTCTGTGTTCGCATCACGGGGTGAAATACGTCGGGTCTTGCCCTCTGAGATCTTGGATCGTCGTGGTGACTGGTGTGGGGCTCTGCTGACCGACCAGAGCAAGAGAACCAAGCTTTTGATCAAGCTCGAGCGTGAAGCAAATGGCAATAGGCGAGCAGCAGTAGTTCGCCGTGTGAGAGGGAGGCGATCCCGCGGAGAGAGGGGGAGAAAGCATGTCGACCCCTGGCGGTATCGACGGACTAACCGAGAAAGGGGAGACTCGAGTCATGGGCCTCGGCGTCGGGGTTTTTCTCATCTTCTTTTTCTCAATGGTGGCGGCTGTCGTCTGCCTAGTGGGCGCAACGACTCCAAGGCCTGGGTGAGAGCAAGCTTGCGCTTTGGTGGCGCAATTATTCAACTGTCTGTGGACGACAGAACCTGATCGACGGGGATGTCCATGTTTTGCTCGTGTTTGACCTGTTGACAACGGGCTATCTAGTCAGCAGTCACCGCTTGTGGTCTAGACTAACGTCCATTCTTCCTTATGCTTGAGAAATCTGCGTGGACTCCACATGCCAAATAATGTTTTTTATCCGTAATCCGATCCATTGCCGCTCAATTTCGGCCCTGAAAGTGATCTTGCCTCTCCGGCTGAGGAGCTCCCATCAGAGGTTACACGATGACGTTCCTCCGTGATGCAGTACGTTCGAAAACGCCATTGAGAGAAGAGATTACTATCGAAAGCTCGTTTCGATGCAGATATGCCTCGGGTGGGGAACATCTTGTGCTACAATTGCAAGTTCAGTAGATGACATAGAACTATATTGCTTGCTGCCCTCGTATGGTCTATGCTGCATGGGATGGCGTGAATCTTCTGACATTTATGCATATGTTCGTTAGCCCAAGAGAAGGGGTATTTGCTAGCACGAAGGGGTGCAGAGTGGTATTTAATGCACCATACAACGTTGCCCTGAAACCTCTACCAACATCTTTTCGAACAACGCTGTGCTTCAGGAATAGCACAGAGTTGTCTTTGAGAAAAATCCCAGTACCCTTCTCGGCCTCTTTCGGCACCCCTAACACATCAGATAAAAACTGAAAAATGTTTTGCTGTGTTTAACCTTCGTTTGTTTTTTAACGTCGCCCAGAAAGGTGCGAGTTAGGTCCGTCCGTGGATAGGGTTGACCCTCGAGCAAATTGGGCAAAAACACAGTTCTGCAGCGGTTTTCGGCGAGATCCACGAATCGCACCCCGCCGGGAAAGAAACCAATCCTCGGCCCTACTACAGCTACCATACAATTAGCGTAGGTTACGTGGAGACACACCTCTCGATGACAGCTTCATCTCAACCAAGATGGGACGTGTGGTGGTTTCTGTAGATTCGTGCGCGAGGAGGCACACTGTCAGAGTGGCCGAAGAAGATAAGACGTTTGGAGGCGGCTGTTCTTCGACCTAAACCACGGTGGACAATAGCTTTGGAGAGAGCGTATGTATCCCTTCTCGACGTGCTACATTAGTGCATTCTCCATTGTGACACTACTTCGATTTGTGCGTACACCGCTAGAGCATCAGTATCACAGTAAATGGGCATGACTCATTTTCATCTTGCGTTTCCCGTGCTCGTTGGCTGTCTTTTTCTCCTGGACGGTTGGATCCAAGGACGTTCGCGTGCGGCGGGGCAGGGCTGCTTGGGTTTGTGATGTTTATTCTTCTTGTTGCTGAACAAGACTCCAGATACGTCGAAGACAAGAGCGACCAGATACAGGTGAGCTTTTAAACAAAAAGGCACCCTTTCAGGGAGTCTGCTATGGTTCGGTGACTAGTGAGGATACAGAATACGGATTCGCGCTGAAAGTCGTTGCAGCCGTCGGCGTTGGCGTGGTCGCATTCGTCTTGTTGCCGTTCGAAACTCTGCCACATACGTGCTGCTCACGATGAGCTTATAGTGAGTTAAGCACTACCGACGCGGCACCGCCTTCGTGGACCGCGATATTTTGGCAACAGTGCGCCCGTGCCCTACGCCAATAAGCAAAAATTTTCCATCGCTTGAAGCCATCACGTGTCCACAGGTGGAATTTACTTGCTAACTTCTCTTCAATCAACTTACGCACGAGCCCTACACCTGGTTTCGTAGATCACCGCACCTCACGCGCGCTGCACAACAGCAGAGAGGCTACAAAATTTGAGTCGAACCACAGGCACATGCTGTAAGTTTAGTAGCTGTAATTGCAGCTAACCCTCGAACGGTGATGTCACGAATGACAATCTCGTGCGGCAGGACTACGATCAGACGTTCTACCCGAGATTGATAACGGTCCTCTTCATGGCACTGGCGGGGCTGCTTGGCTTGGGAGGGCTGTGTGTTATGCACATTGGAAAACCTGTTCATGTGAGTGCAACAGCGTTCATGTCTGGTCTAGCCAAGAAAGCAGTGGTTGTTGACATTGGCAACCCTCACGAGAGCCATCTTCCTTGAAAATTTCGTCCTGTGACCTTTGCCGGTTATGTCTGTATGATCTACGACCACCTCACACTCGCGCAAATAATCAGCCGCAGGGTCTTTCCACTCAACTACATTCACGTGTAAGGAACACTTGATCGCGCTTCCCTAAATTTCACACCGACCGTACCACCCCTCGCCCCTCCCCACTGATCCCCCCCCCCCCGTGTGTGCGTTCGTCCGCACCCTGCGTTGTCACTTCCATGAAAAATTGGTCACACACCGTTACCAACAGGCGACCCCGGTGTACGATCAGCGAAGTGACTTGCGGAGGCCCATATTCTGACGTTGGTCGGATACGCGATTACCCTCCGGGAAATCATACATTTTTTTAGGCAACCAACATGGAGCTTGGGGCCCCAATTATTTGTTCTGCGATAACATCTCGAGAGCTCTGGGGAGCGACCTCCGCTGCTACAGTAACCTTGAATGGGTGGATTTCCTCTGAAACATTGAAAGCGCTTGTACACAGTCACGGTGCCCTCCCTGCTGCACAAGGGTGTACTTAGGGCCACGCAAACCTCAAGCTTTTGCGAACGACGAGGAGTTGTCGGTACGCCGCCCGCTTGCGATATAGGGTACCTCACAGGGAGGGAGACCGTACAATCAACCAGCCTGCTACGCAGCCTTCTATGCGCATGCCGGATCAATCGGCGTGGACAAAGGCACCCACCCCGCCTGGTTTCACCCCGCCGCTCTCCCACCAATCCGTGCGCGACTCAAAAATTTGCTTTCTCCAAAATATGGCACGTACCCTAGGCGCGCTAAAACAGCACCTCAGTGCATCCGAGACTAACATGGGGCAATGTGCCATCACCGATACCGAAAACAAGAGTGAACAGGGTGTGTGCTACCGCCAGGAGATACACCCAGCGAGCGGGTGAATGCCCCGTCCAACTCGTGACCACTCATGTAGTTTGAATGAACGAGGAGAGCACTTTAGTCGCCGCGTGTCCAAGATAACGTTGAACCATCGGGAGCGGCTTGGTAGACACAAAGCTCTACGCGTTGTGAAAGGAAGATAATTAAACGTGTTTAATTGGACTATCGTGTTGGTCGTCCGTCGCCAGCCACAGCGGGGCCAGGGCATAGCGCCCAGACGCTTCACCAAACTTCTACAGAGCCAAAGGGGGCATCACTCATCACATCCAACGCCTGTGCCCACCACAATCGCCAACAAGAGGGCGCAAGCAACAATTTATTCTCCGCCCACATCGTAATCTAACGTCGCGAGACAGCCCGCGCCCAAGGGCCCAAGCCGTTCCGCAAAATTATCCAGGTATTTTCCATCGCCTTAACGGCAATATCAATTCAGTAAGAAAAAGTTCTTGAAAACGCGGTGAAATACAGAAAAGACTCCCACAACGCTGGCGTATCTACACATATGCCCGACCCTTCCACACAAACTACTGTTTTCGTGTACTACAAGAAATCAAGCACACGCCGTTGCTGGCGTACCTATGCCCTACCCTATCGTGCACAATCGTTTCGCCCACACCAAGCAACACAACTAGAAATAAAGACACGCGTCGCCGGCGCATTGCTGTAATATGCTACCATGCACATATTCTTTTGGTGTACAGAAGGCAACAAAAAGCAATAAAATACATGCGCCGCTGGCGTACCCAAGCCCTATCATACCATAAACATTAAGTTCGCGTGCCACAGAGGGTGGCAAAGACTGGCATACTGTATGCCCTACCCAAACCATGCACATACTATTTTGTGTATAGAAAGCAACAAAACAAGCATTAAACCTACAACGCGCTGCGCGCGTACCCTAGCCCTACCTTATCATACACACCGTTTTTCGCATACACAAAACAAAATACCACACGCATTTGCTGCAGGTAGCACTAACGTGCGCGATTCAGCCCTGGGTTGGAGGTAAGGGGGCTTAAATGCCCTCTCTCTTCCCTCTCCGGTCATGCTCACACCTACCTACCTAATTCTATCAATCCCCACGCGGCCTCATCTATCAATACCGTGACCTGTTTGGTTCGCGTGGACACTTTCCATCTACGCTATAATAAACCTGCGAAACGCCAAAGGTTTCCCCCGAGCTAAACCTACCCCGTGTGCTCCAGCGCATCCTGCCCTTCCCGGTGGAAACCCGCGAACCCGCCGAAGTCTTCTTTGGGGTCCGACCCGAACTCCCCCTGGCTCTGGCCGTCCGAGTCGCTCAGGTCGCCGTCACTGATGGTGATGATGCCGGTAGCAGCGGCGGCGGTTCGTCATTGCACAGAAACACAGAGGGCGCGGGGGCAAAAAAAAACAAACAAAATAGAGATTGATTGGTTGCGTAACATTGAGAAAAAATAAACAGTGATGAGGAAAATACGCAAGCGAGCGCATCTATCCATGCCCGAAGAAGACCATGATTGAGCCAGCGAGAAAGAAGCACTACGGCGGCGAGATGGGTTTGTACGTGCCTCGCACCCGTCTGTGCAGACGGGAAAAAAAATCCCTACAGAAGCGTAGCACGCGGCGCCAAGACAACTCCCCTCCTGCTACACGTGGTGCATCCACCGGCGAAGGCGGTGACTTCCAAGCGTAGGCGAATGAATAATCTCTTGGTTGTATTTTACTAAAGAAAGAAGCAGCAGACAACCAGCACTCGATGCACGTGGACACCAGGAACAGAAGACTGCATGCTGGGGTGATGCAGTGGTTTGAGAAGCTGCACCAAGTGCAAGACCAAAACCAACCCGAATCAAGTACACAAAAACACGCGACAAGCACACAGCACCGCGCTCGATATACCCCCCAAAGGAGACGTATCCTCGGTTGTACCTAACCCGCACGAGGGCATGGCACACCCGGCAAACACCCCACGGAGCTCACACGAAACAAAAAAAAGGACGGAATTCTTCCTGTGATTGTTCGAATATTTACTAAAGCAACTACTACAGTAGTTCAACAGACACCACACCCATCTACCTTCGCATCGTCTGGATCATGCCGCCACCCGAAGAGCCCCGCCGATGCTGCTCCTCCCTCTGCTGGGAAAGCCCTCCTCCTCCTCCTCCTCTTCCTCCTCCGTTGACCTCTCCTACCAGCTCCCCGCTCTCCACGGCCCTCACCATGAACTCCCGCACCACATGAGCCGCCAGGTCTAGGTCCGAGTGCCCGTCGGCCTCTTCTTCCTCGCCAGCTTCGGCGACATCTCCCCGTACCGGTTGGAGTTCCCCGCCGCCGTCCCCACCCCCCTCGCTAATCCCGCCGCCTCCCGTCCCTCCAGCGGATGATCTTTCTCCCCCAGTCCCCCCGCCCCCGCTTTCTTCCGAGACCACCGGCGGCTGGGGCTCGCGGAAGCGTAGGAACCAGTCGAGCTCGAGGAGCTCTGCCGGCGTGAGGCGTTCTTCGGGGATGGGCTGGAGGCACCCCCGCAGCACCTGCTCGAACTGTGGCGAGTGTCCGGGGACGAGCTTGATCAGGTCGTCCACCGCTAGGTCTTGCTGAGGGGTTGGGAGAGAGAGAGAGGGAGAGGGGGAGAGAGAGAAAGAGAAGAGAGAGTGAGAGACAGAGAGAAACAGAGCCACGCGAGAAAAGGGATGGCGGGCATTTCATTTGATTGACCCAAGAGGGAAGAAGAAAACGGCTAACGGTTAACAGGGTCGAGACAAAGGTCGTTGCCGAAGGTAGTGCATGATCGTGTGGAAGAGATTTCGGGTAGGTCAGGTCAGGTCAGCAACGGCATGGGTCGCAACAAGCTTACTAAGCGCTTGTGTAGGGGCAGGATAGATCGCGCACCCCTGCCCGTGCCCGCAACCCCGACAAGCCTTCCCCCCCAAACAAAGAGCGCAAAAAAAGAAGATGCAAGAAGCACAACTCAACAACACCAAGACATGCCGATTCCACAGCTCTGGACGGTATCGGGACCCCGCTGCGCGAAAATTCAGGGAACACGGTGCATGGCAACAACAATCCGCAACAATTGTTCTCGCCTGCAATCTGTCGTGGAGTTCAATCTGCGAAACGGCGCTCTCAAACGGCAGCCTTCGCGCCGCCATCTCGAGCAGCAGCACCCCCAGGGACCACACGTCAGCCGCCACGCCGTACCCATCACCCGCAAGCCTTTCGGGCGACTGCGGTCGTTCCGGCACGATGACGTCAGTCAGGCAAACAGACGAAAAACAGTTGTACGTGAAATGTTGTTGGTGACTTGGTCGACTCCGAACACACGCCGCTTGCAAAGGTACGGAAAAGTGCTGCGAAAGACCACGTCGGGGCGCAACGAGTTGTTGCAGTATCCCGTGTACTGTACTACATTGCACTCAAGCCTTCCCCAGCAATCACTCACCATATACCGTATCGTCCCGACCATCGTCTGCGCTAGGTCCTGCAACGAGAGACAGAGAAGGTGGTGGGAGGGGCGGTAGAGTGAGTTGGCCAGGTCATTCAGGTAGAACAGTGATGATTAGGGAAGAAACCTACCCGGAGACCCGGCTCCTGCCGATGTGACTGCTGCGGAGACTACTGTCTAACAAGCGCATCGTTGCGTAAAAAAAAGTAATGTGGATTGATGATAACAAGGAAAAACAGCCATCGCACCAAAGGAAGCAGACGACACAACCCCCCGATAAAAACATAAAAACATTGAAAGTAGGTTGTCAAGAGCGTGAGCTACGTACACAAAATATGGCATCTGGTATGTACGGTGTGCTGAAGGGAGGGGGGTGGGGGGTGTACTCATAGTCGAGCATGCCGTAGTCGTTAGACCGTTGACCTCGCATCCCTACAAAGCCGGGACGGAGCACGCCGGGTTTTCACCGGACCAGGCTCTCACATCACCACAAGAGGGGGGCGGGGGGGGGGGGGGGGGGGG